AATCTAACATTGACGCATTCAGTTATCATGACAACCACGCCTGCGACGACCAATGTTTCGGGACATGGTATGTTTCAGCAAACATTGTCGCGTGAGGTGCGCATTAGCGCTGTCATTTCAGTCTACATGACCAATTAAGTTGTAGACTGGTTCATTTTATGTAATTATTTCAACCAGTAATGCGAGCTCAATAAAAGCGATATGAATTTACTCCATTATCAACAATTCAACTGTGGACAATTGTCGCTAACAGGAAACGTCTTGATACTGTTAAATAGAATTTATATGTTTACTAAAAAGTGTGGCCATTTGACAAAGCAAAACAACTGTGCAGTACAGATTACCAGAATTTTATCCATCACAGGCGCTTTATGGGTAAAATGCCAAACATTTTATTCGCATCCGATAACAGTAGTTTTAAATACTTGGGGATCCGGAAAGTACCCATGATATGTTTTTGCCTGCTCGGCGCGAATCTTTCGTATAGCGGTGAGGGCTCCTACCTAAGGTTTCCCTGCTCATAATGTTTGCCGCCAGTGTACGTTCACAAAAACCTAATCACCAAGTCAAGCATAACAGTCCAAAATATCGCCATATTAGTTTGCTTAGTCAGAGAGTCAGTCTTAGTGGAAATATGGTACGTTACTTTTGAAGTTAAGGGACTGTTGAAATTTTCGAATTTTGGTTCGCGTAAGCGTTTGCAGTGACAGATAATGCAGGAGCATAGATTAGTATGGTCGCCGTCTGATAGTATTTCCCGGCTTTCTTCCGACTTATTACGAACCACGTAAACAAACTGGAATATATATATTTATATGGGTTTACATACAACGTGATGCAAAACCCAATAATTCGTTCTTTTGGCGTTTCATTTTGCCTTCCCGTATCTGAAGACATCCAGTGATGTCGCCACATAAGCTGGACCGTACAATGATGAAATATATTTCGGTATGCAGTGTCCATTTTTCGGAGAAATCTCTCCTGGAAATCATGATTACCAAAGTCGGATACCTATATTTCGGAACAAACGTTAAAGTGCTACTTCAACTGGCGATGAATATTATCATTTATTACAGATAGAGGACAATGGCAGTCCTATCTGTTTAGTGTATCCTTCATCTTCTGCAACAAGAAACCTTTGGGAAAACGAAAAACCACATTTTAGATGTCCTTGAACCTTGGGGTGTCAGGGGACGTTCGACTATCTGCAACGGAAATTCTGATGAATATTGCATGCAGCAGTGACGGAATTTGCACTAGGCAGAATAAAATTTGTAGATAGATTTATTCCTCTCAAATTTTCTGAATGCATACGTGATATGTGTTTCTAAGCACGTCTTTTGTAAACCAGGCGAATTCATTGACGGACCTTTTATTTAGCGGAACACTGGAAGGTTTCCCATGTGTCAAACATTGCTGGATGAAACATAGGCATTTCCTCTCCATCCGTGGGTGAAATTACCAGATTGTTGAATTTACGCCATGCTACCTTGTTGTTGTAAATGGAGGAAGACGCTAATTTGCGGCAACATTTTGTGATGCGGAATCTATGTGACGCTGCATGTAAATTGTTGACTCATTATTTATTCATTATAGAAACGGCCAAACGGTGGGAGAAAAAGATGTAGATCATAGGTCGCGAGGCTGCATTGGTCTACAGAGAATTGACCATCTGAACCCTTGTTTAATTGGGCGTTGTATGCCAAACTAAATATACCATTCCTGTTTCAATTCGTCAAAGACTTCTCTAAGCATTCGCAATATTTTCGAAATCGCTTCAATACATTCCGTCTTACTCACCGGCTTATAACCCTGAATTGGTCATTAACGAGTAAATTTAATCAAAAAACACGCTTGTGATAAATACTAGTGTTCAAGTTTCCTGACTGAATTGTTTTTAAATTTGTAAAAAAAACTAGTAATACATTTTTTCGAGGGTATGCGTCAAATCCTATTCGAAACAGGATCCCTATAAACGACTTCCTGGGGAAACCCACATCAAGTTTTGTTCGTTCTTCACGTCCATGATATATTAATAAGCCTTCGGTTCGCACATCTAACTAGTGGGCTTCTGCGTTGACCACTTTCGTCAGGGAAAGTTGTGTGGGTAATGAGAACCAGAGACAAAAAGCCGACTTTGGTTGTATCGCATAACGGGTGTTAATTGGTATCAGCTCATTCCAAAATCAGTCAATTTCAAGGCACGCAATCTTTTGAATCTCAATTGTAAATGACCCGGCTGAACCTGTCTTATTAGCTTCAAGCAATAAATTTCCATCTCAAAGATGACTTGGGATATAATTATTATACGTCTTTTGCTCCATGCAGCTTTTGAAACTACAGGTAGTTCCGTTAATCTGTGTATAGTTTTATCTACACCAAACACCATCCGCGATTAAACGGTTAATCGGCTTCCAGTAATTTGAAAGTGTCCGATTTATTTGCCTTGTATTTTACAACCAATACGATAATGCTAACTTAATGTAGTGCAAAATGACGCAGCGTATTTATCCAAATACCTTTCTCCACGGGAATAAGACAATTGTGTGGCCACCGCTGGGGGGCACACGATGACTGCATACACGTATTTCACTGGCGTGAACAGCGCAACCGACCCATCCGTTCATGTTAACAAGAGTGACTTGATCTCTCAGGTAGGGTTTGCGGTCGTCACGTAAGGGTCATGCGCAACTTAAACGCCACCCAGCATACAGTTGGCCTATTTCTGGATGATTTAGCAGTTAGGAGATGAAAAACCTCTCGAACAGTTAGAAACTCAAATGTTTTCCATATTTATTGGCAATAAATATATTTCCTTTAGAAGACGGTAGAATAAATGCCAAATTCCATCACGCGTTTGTGTTGCACCGGGCTACCTATAACAATGTCTCACAGTGCGCAAAATTTTTCTTCAAAACATTCCAAAACCTTCATCCTTTCGGGATTTGTATGACTCACTTTTTCTTGTTTCCTCAATCGCAATTTTATAGCGCATTCTCATCGAATGTCAACATATTCAGATATCTTGACAACCATGCCTACAACAAAAAAGCCTTCAGGAAATGGTGAGCTTCACCAGGCATTATTGCAGAAGGCGCTCCCTATAGATGACTGTGAAGTTCTTACTCGTAATCCCCGATTTTAACACAATATCCCGCCGCAAATCTCACAAGTGTGCGCTACGCCTTGTTGTTGCAGCTCCACACCTTCACATGCATTGGTTAACGAACCTGGGCTTTTTAGTCGTTGTCATCAAGTAAGTGAAAAAATATATTCAAAGTTGCAAATAGCCTATCGAGCTGTCGAAAAAAACGTCTGCTGTCCACCACAGTGAAGTAAACCACATACAATTATTAAAAAAATCCGGAAAGATCCAAGTGATGATGGTGTTTCTGAGAAGGCAGGTGAAAATGGACAGGTATGCTCACTAAAAGCAATTTTACTTACGTTATGGGGTGTAGAAGCTGATATATATGCGAAGTGGCTCCTGGCCCGATATGTAAGCTCGAATGGTCTCACGTGCTCCATTCTATCTAATCAATAGAAGTTCAAGCCATACTTTCATGGAAACTTGTCGGCTATGCATCTGCGCACAATGATTCGTGAAACCATCATATACCTTTCACTTGTGTGTTTCCAGGACAAAATGATATGTGCGAGGTCGTGGATGAAGTCGTAATGAACCTTTTTGAAAACCACCGTTCAAACTAACCTCACTAGTTGAAAAATATGCGTTGTCTACTTAAACAGCTTGCTCTTTTTTCGGCTTTATTTAACAAAATCTTATTACAAGTTTTGATACAATAACAAAGACGTTCTGAGACTTCATTATTTCGCGCCTTGTGTTTTGCGAGGAAACCCATCGTTACAAATGTAGCAGAAGTTCATCCGATTTTCCGATGAACTCAATAATCAAGACTGTTTTGTAGGCTGAGGAAAAGAACGTTGTAGTTCACTGCTTCCGTTGGGCAGTTGTGATGCAATATTAAATATGAAAAAAGAAATTATATTGAATAAACGAGTTTTCACATATAGGTCACCGACTTTTGAATGAAAACAACTCATATGCGAGTCGTTATTGAAAATGAAAAAATCCGGTTATTACCACACCCCACCTGGTATGGCGGTTAAACTTTACGATTCATAAGCTGACAACTGTTAATGCTGAAGAAGGACGCACACAATGTCAAAGTTGTTAAAATGTGTTTAATAGGGAACATTTGCGGTGCCATCTGGTATTATATTTTGTTTGCTCCATTTTGTTAGCCAGACTATTCACCTTTTATTTCAGCATTCCCGTTGAAGAAAAATGATAAGATACATGGGAACAAGTGGTCGAAAGCGCCACAACGTTTCGTCTGACTACCTGACACTACATGATGCATATTTTGTTGACAATATTTTAAGCGTCACGAGAAATAGCTGCTTCTTCAACGAATTTTCAGCGTTAATCTATAGTTTTATCACTTGCAAATATTAACTGGAGCATGAAGTCACTTATGCAGAATAAAACTCACCTTGTCAAACACACAAAGAGGGTTTTGGTCAATCACCTTACGACGTTTCTCGGATTCGTGATAAGAAAGCGCAAATTTACTATGACAAGTGATTTGTACGCAGATTCTCACATTGCTTCCGAAAGCATGACCTTTAGTTGCAATGATGGAACTCATTTTATTCTTGCTATATCTACATTTCTTCTTTTTTCCTTAGAGCGCGGAAAACTTCCGTAGCACTGTGCGAGGCTTTCAGATGATCTCAAGTGATCAGTTTATCAGGGTTTCTTTGTAATGAAATATGAATTTAATAAACGTAATTCCCTCGTCTTAGTTGGCACGCAGAACCTCTCTGGGTATTAAAATAAACGAATAATGAAGTAGTGGATAAAGAAATCAAAAACAAAGGTTGAAAACACAGGGTAATCCTAAAAACCGTGGCGTACATTTAAATGGCCGTCACATGGCAGATGTGGAGTTTTTCCGCATTAATTAGTTTTTCAGGGTTTTCGAGACAAACTGCGCCCTACATTTGTGTTAGGCGTGTGGACGGAAGTACCGAAAAGTCCCGTGACATCTGCTGGTTAGTCGTTTATGCAGTCAACGTGTGTTGCGTGACGTTCAATAATAATGCAGGTTTCGAATGCTGTTATTCAGTGATTACGTATCAAGCCAACTGCTTCTTCATTTTGGTCAGTTTCATGGAGCAGCTTTTCCCTGACTTGCAAAACCTTTGACTGGAAAACTTGGATTGTGGTGACATTTGCTGAAGTTCTATGCAATGTTCCGAACACGTAGACATGGCCCACTGAATCCCAAAATTTTATTGTGTTCCTTCAACTTAGTGGTAAACTTAAGGTAAATTTTATTTTCTATAATACATATCCCGCGATTTTAGATACCCGTCAAATGCGTCGGAAAAGAGGATTGCAAAAATGAACGGTGTTTTCAACGGCCTTTGATGCTATTACGTAATGTTCAAGTAACTTTTGGATGTCCTCAGGAATGCGTCATCATTTTTTACTGGTCACATTGGTCACATGCGGTTAGTTGAGTTCATGTTTTATCACCCTTGTATTGGGCGATGTCTGTTCCCAACATGCACAATACTATTCTTAGGGGAGAAAACATATCACAACCTGAACAAAAAATTTGCAGGCTGATATGCTCTATTTTTATCAAGAACAATATTCTTCCTAATAACTCGTAATGAAGGGCAAATTTCTTATATATTTCACTCATAAGGAAACTAATTCACTTGTGTGGGGACCACGCGCGAATCCATTTTATTCGCCGAAATCATGTACGCGCTGCACACATTTCTTATAGGAGAGCAAAACCTATTTCACATAATGTGTTTTTAATTAAAAAATGTCAGGAATACGCCAACAAAATATCAGAAACAGTTATTTTGCGATCAGTGTTCAGGATCATAAATGTTGACAGCGGGCATGGATGAATCGCTCCAAATAATAAACTCCCTTCAATAAGTCAATTAGATAAATCTTTTATGTGAGCGTTCTTAGATACTTACCTCATAACAAACCTGAGGTGATCAGGACTGCGTGCGTCGCAATCTGCAAACAGACCTCTATTCACCATTCGCACCACTGCTCTGTCACTGACTGCGGTAACAGCGGCGGTGAGAGAAACTTCACGGTTTCTCTGTGTGTGTGTGCAGTCTCCGGAACATTTCTGTACTGTCTTCATTCATATAATCAGGTATCTGTCCATCGGATAAAGTAGCTGCAGGTACCACGTAAGACATTAACCGATAGTATCCAGAGTTACGTAGGTGTATTTCAAAGGTGCATTTAGATAAAAGAGCTATAAGCCAGTTTAGAGATAACCTTACGATGCATACACATGAAGAACACCTTGTGAATCACAAATAAAAGCAGGGCTTGTGGGGATACCTCAAACCTTGTTTTCAGGCCGTCTTTCTTGTCTATAATGCATTCCATATTTTCGCATTTCGGCATCCGTCTGCGGAAAACCTGTCTCGTTCTTGAGAGTCTGGTTTAGCAAAGTGCAAAATCAGAATCCAATAATTTCGAAATCTTGTCTTATAGCTGGCTGCTAGAACTTGCGAATGGCCCATAAGTTTTATCCCAATAGTCTCTGGGTGACCTCAAAGATTAACAATGTGAAATGTTTTGCGGAATAACAGAAATACATTTGACAAAACGCTAATGTAATAACCGGAAACCGCAGATGTTTTGCGAATAACAGAAATACATTTGACAAAACGCTAATGTAATAACCGGAAACCGCAGAAGCAATTAGTCCTACCCAGAAAATGGGCATCCCGTTGGTGGTCTAAGCTAGATATATTTGTGCTGAGTTTATGCATCGAACGTACATTACAACTGGTGTAATGTTTCTCCAGCGAATTGAAAAGAATTCTCCAAAGTGGGGCGATATTTATATGTTCCGCTTTTTGAAGTTCAAGTTAACAAACTAGCATGTGACGCCGATGGCGTTTTCAAATCTTCGATCGCAATCCATCCAACTGGAAATTTCTTTTGCGTAGCGGATGGGCTTGATTCAAAACTCACCTCGTTTTGCATATGCCTGACTTTTCAATGTTTTATAAGAGTTTTCACAATAACAACAGCCACTTCGGCTGCAAAGTAATCAGGCAAGTCAATCTTTGGTGAAATGCTTTGAGCATTTCCGGGACGCAACATCTTGAACACACCCCAGGAAGGTGGTGTACGCACAAGCGCGTGATGTTCCACTGACTTACCAATTATACTATGGCCTCGATACCCATCGGGGACGTCTCGACCGAAAATAATAAAGAAGAAATAACATGCAATGACAGCAGTGACCGTGAACGCCACTGGACACGCGTAAGAAACAAGTTTTCCGGTATTCCAAACGGCCATGTGTGGTGAAAGCTGATCTTCAGCAAAGCTGTTTCTCACATTATTTTGGTTGAGTCCGCAGTTAAAGGAAACAAATCACCGGCATTCTGATCAACCGCAGTTGAAGTGAATGTATTCGTGCCAGATTGTATTGTACTAGCTTTTAATTCGTGAGCAACCATTCGTCCAAATATTCCTATTAAACAGTACAATCTAGCGCAACAAATGATTAGTGATAACCAAATACATCTTAATCTGCCAGATTCCCTGATAAACCTGATATAACCGTAAGTCTTGTTTGTCCCTCGGAAATTGTGTGACCAGTACAAACATATGAAGTCCTTACCCATTCCTTTAGAGCCTTTCTACAAATCGGTGACGAAATCCGCCGATCATGGAAAAGCCACCTGAACTCTCGTGGATGGAGTAAAACGTTTATCAGCTGCGAAACTAGGCTAAATGATGCCTGAAACTGCATTAAAAAGTGCTGAAAGTTCTGAAAAATCACTTCTAGGTGATGTATGACTTATGGTAATGTAAAACCCTAAATCATCTATTTTTCAGAGCCAAAGAAGTAAAACTGAGATCAAGAAAATCTGTGAGATTTGCAAACTCATATAAAGTTTAGTGCAACAAAAGGGCACCACTGTTGTTGACTGGAGGGTAAAGGAAAAGCAACAGGAAATTTCAGTCAACTCATTGCTCGCCTTCAGTTCCAGTAGTTCAGCCTCATATGGTAGTGTGATGCCACCGAAAGGAAATTTTCAAATAATTCTAGCAACTTTTTTTGAAGTTTAATGGCAATTTTCTTCTGTTGCAAACTTTATACACATTACTTTTATCACCCGAATGCTTCTCGTGAGAAAGAAAATTAAACCAACCCGGCATGACAAATTTACAAACGGTTTAAGCAAAAAAATTTCAGATGATTCCACAGTGGTCACTTGGACAAGTGACGTTGTGACAATTGAAATCCAAATCTAGTTCCTGGGACAAAAACACCTTTACTTCTGTAGCAGAAAGCTATAGCAGTTTATAGTAACTTCGTTCACCAAAATCGATTGTTCCGCAACCCATGAAAGTCACAATCTTCCGGGCTCAACGAAGCCCATTGCCAGACAGTTACCTGGTGATTCAAAGTGAAAATTCCCACAAGAGTGTAGTCCGATCGAACCATCGTTCGAATTATAAGAATTATCAGTTATCACGAGGAAACTCTCCACTTCTCACATGTTGATATAATTTGATGTCAGAATGCGTGATTCATCAGAGGCACCAAAGATTTTGCTTCAGCTGCAAATTCCAAGTTACCGGATAATGAATCCGGACCATAAGAGGCTCAGTTTCGGTTTCTGTTGCCGAAAGTAACACAAACCTCACAGCACTGAACGCCATTACAGCATTCAGAAACCTGTGTCCTATCAACCGCGATTGGTTTCATGACAAACCTTGAGTTCATTGTCATCATGTGCCGACGAGGAATCCCCCAAAATTGTTGTCCACTTTGCTAAGTCCATCAATAGGCAACACTGTCTTCGTTTATGGAAGGATTTCCATTCAGCCGTCTAGCTATTGATCGAGTTGATTTTAGCGGTTACCGTTTGCTTGCGACCTTTCAGTGTCAGCACATTTTAGTGAAGTCATCCTAAACCCCGCCAATTAGACACAATAGTCGCATTCCGTTGACACAATGAGCCTGATCGCCAACCTTGTCATGGTTTTCGGGCTTCTGTGCTGCAGTTTTCACGCGGATCTTATAAGCTAAGGCCTAATTTTACAAACCCACGGGATGCAGATAACCAAAACAAATGACAACGAATATCCTCCGGACCGCGGGCTGGGAGCTGGCCACGATGCAAAGCCAAGCGGTCCTTTTGATAAGGTGTCAGATGTTTCCTTGGTTCAACCAGAGTGTTCATAGCGATGGAGAGCTTAATGCTGTAAAATTGTGGCTGGAAACTGGAACTCCCAGTGGTCTGTTGGTTTACCTCGACCGCCTGTTTATTATTAAGTACGATCGGAGATCTTTTTTAAATTCAGCTTGCCTGATTTTCCTATAAAACCGCTTGTTGCTCCTGGCAGCATTAGCAAAGATAGGACGAACCCATAATACCAGATCTGTTTTCCTTTTGCCTTCCCTGGCTAGTCAGACAATTGAGGGAATGGCCTGTGTTAGCGTCACAAAATAAAACCTTACATTCGCCCATCGTTTTCTCAGCCAGAATTTTTAATGAGAAATCTGTGTGCTACCCGAATGAACCCCAAATTTCCGACGTGGGCGACCGCAATGTACCAACTTTCGTTTTTCGATGCCCCATAGGCCTTCTCGCCAATAACAACCGTTGCTCGGTTATTGTGACGTCCGTTAACTGGTGAGCGGAACCAATCTATCCTCGCTCTCAAGTAACTTCAAACTAAATACAACCTTGCAAAATTCACTAGATCGATGGCGAAAAAGTCTTTTGGACTTGGGAAGCCCGAGGGAATTAGAGTCTAGCCGCCACCTGAATCATTGCTTACTCGTACGAAATGCCTTTCGGAACGATAGGAGCAACGGCCAGCAGGGCGATATTGGGAGAGATGGTTCGTTGATTTACTCGCAAGCATGTCAATTAGAAACGTGATCTTCAAGCTTTGAAGAAGAATTTTGGTGTGCCCTGCAACACCGCCTCTGGGAATAGTAAACAGTAGTCAATAGAATGATCTAATGGA